GTGCTGGACCGGGTTCGCACGGTGGCCGAGGCCAAGCGCAAGCACGTAGCCATGATGCTGGACACCAAGGGCCCCGAGATCAGGACGGCCATGCTCAGGGACCACAAGAACATCCAGATCGACAAGGGCCAGGAGGTGGGGCCTGCTCGTGACCTGAATAAGCAACGGCTGGCTCTTTGATGCTTGCTTTCTTGTGCTTGTCCCCACAAACGGCCTCTAGGGATGAGCTTGCGTGGTGATTTTGTGCAGGCTTGTGTGACCGGCAGCCAAGAGCCCCTTTCTGTGACCTCTGCGTGACCCCTCCCGCCATGTTGCACCCTCGGACAGGTCAAGGTGGTGGCTGTGGGCGCGGCCTACACCGAGTTCGAGGGCTTCAAGGACGAGGCCACTGGGGAGACCGTCATCGGCCTCAGCTACGCCTCACTCTGCCAGCACGTCAAGCCGGGGGGCCGCATCCTGATGGCTGACGGCTCCCTGGCCATTGAGGTGCGGCTTGCCACGAGTGTAGAGTGCATGCGCCCTGCCACAATTGTCGCGTGCAAGCAACGCGTTTGCAGGAAAATGCGACCCAATGAGGAGACGATAGGGCAGCAGCTATCCTGTCTGTTCAGGCATGCTGCTCTCCAGTAATTGAGTGTCAGGTGGGACTGGTAGCACTTTTCCAGCAACCAACCCCATGCCCACAACCCTGCGGCACCCACGCCACTGCACAACCCCCTTGTCTCAGGTTCGCAAGATTCTGAGCGACACAGAGCTGGCAGGCGTGGCCCTGAACTCCAAGAGCCTGGGCGAGCGCAAGAATTGCAACCTGCCGGGGGTGCACGTCGACCTGCCCGTGCTGGGGGAGAAGGACGTGGACGACGTGCAGGCCTTTGCTTGCAAGTGAGGGTTCTGGTTGGCGTTGGGGTTAAGAGCAAGCGTGTCATGATACGGGGTAATGGTGTGTGTGTGCGGAGAGGCGTGGGTTTGGCGCAACCATCAGTCCAGCCATCTCAGGTCTTGAGATACGCCCCCACCCCTTCCTTGCCCTGCTTGATGCCCAACTGCAAGTACCACAGTGCCGTCGACCGGAATCCTCATCGCACCCTCATGCATGTATTCAAGGTCCCCCCCTCTCACCTCAACCCCAACCTTAGGTTTGGCATGGACCTGATTGCTGTGAGCTTCGTGCAGAGCGCAGACGATGTCAAGTTCGTGCGCAAGACACTCGACGACGCGGGGGGTCAGGGTAAGGGACCGGGGGAGCGTGCGCGATGCAGCTGGGCATAGGACCAAGCCCCTGTTCAGCGGCGCACAGGATGTGACGCGGAGCCGCAAGTGCCGGGCTTGCTTGTTGCTGCTCTGTTATGGCGTGTGACGACTGTGTTTGTCGTGTTCAACCTGGTTCAACCCGACTTGCAGGCATCAAGATCATCTCGAAGATCGAGAGCTGGCACGGCCTGATCAACTACGACGAGATCCTGGCTGTCAGCGACGGCATCATGATTGCCAGGGGTGATCTGGCTATGGAGGTGGGTCGCTGGGCCATTACGTGCACCAGGTTGTGGGTTGAGACGAGGGCACCCAGGGAGTTTGGCTCAATGCCATGTGGCGCAGATCAGGATGCACTAGCACAGAGGAGGATTGCACCGGCCTGATGGCGCTTCAAGGTGCTTGATCCACCCAGTCCAAGGCTTGCAGTGGGCGGATCGATGTGGCCAAGACAGATTGTGTTGGGTTTCAGCCGTCAGTGCCGCCGCCTGAAAGGCGGGGCAGGCAGAAGGGATCAACACCACGTCTGCTTTCCTCATATCCTCCTAACTAATTGTCAGGTGCCGAGCGAGAAGGTGGCACTGGCTCAGAAGATGATGACTACTAAGGCTAACATTGCCGGGAAGTTCGTCGTAACGGCCACCCAGATGCTGGAGTCGATGACGTCCAACCCCCTGCCAACGCGCGCCGAGATGACTGACGTGGCCAATGCGGTGTTTGACGGCACTGACGCCGTCATGCTGTCGGGTAAGAGTTTAAGGTGGCTCTCATGAAGCACATCGCTTGAGCTCCTAGAGGATTTTCAAAGGACGGACCCTCATGAAGCACATCGCTTGAGCTCCTAGAAGATTGTCAAAGGACGGACTCTTGCCACTGCCCACGTTGCAGCCGGCAGCACACGCATCGCACGCAGGAGCCGACGCACCGCCTGGTGCGCGCACATCAGACCCCGGGTCAGCCTAACCCTCCGCTGCCCCCAACGCTCCTCAACCAGGCGAGACCGCTGGCGGCAAGTTCCCCATCAAGGCGGTCGAGACGATGGCCGCCATCGTGGCCAACGCAGAGGTGCGCTCACTGCTTCACACCCCCGCTAACGCGGTGCTCCTGAGGACCCGATGCATGCGCCATCGGTTCCAACGGCAGCCTCCACATTGCTGGGGGTGTATAATCACTTTCACACCACCGACCGCGAGCCTTCCTGTGCTGTAGTGCGTCCTCCACACTCCCTATCCATGCCTCCACACCCCTGGACCCCATCAGCCACTCACCCGACCCCCACCCGCTGCGCCCGCCCGGCCGCCAGGTCGGCGTGAACTCCTACCAGACGCTGTCCTTCATCCGCGAGTTCACAGACCGCCCGATGACGACGCTGGAGGCGTCCGCGGGCTGTGCGGCCAAGAGCGTGCTGGACGTGGACGCGGGGCTGGTGGTGCTGGCCAGCAGGGACCCGGCCTACGTGCGCTACGTCTGCAAGTACAGGCCACGGGTGAGGCAGGGGCCGCGCGCGCGAGGGGGGGGGGGGACGAGTACTGTACGAGGGGCGCGGGGGTTGGACAATATTAGGA